GTTCAGTCCAGGACTTCAAGCCAAGGTAAGGTGCTGCCAACATTTAAGGTTGGTGTTGTCAACATTTTCCTACCCCAATTAACCTAATCAAGATAATCTGTCACAGGCATGCTCACAAGCTAACCTAATCTACAGAATTCTTCTCATGTGTGCATGGAGGCTTTCCAGTCTAGATGCTGTCAGGTGGACAATCAGTATTAATCACACAGAATTTGTTTCAAAAGAGAAAGGGGGGACCAGCAAGATGGCTCAGAGGGAAAAGGTGCTTGCCAAGCCTGACCTGAGTTTCATTCCCAGCACCCCCATGGTGAATGGAGAGAACCAATTTCCATAGGCTATCCTCTGACTCCTACACATCAGCTGTGCCACATGCACACACACACAAGTGGAACAGAGAAGAAATGATACACACGCATGCACGCAACATGAAGCCATAGACATACAAGCGTGCACATACACAAACACAAAAAAGGAAAAAGTTTGAAAATCATTGTTTCTAGAGTTCATCTCCAAGCCATCGGTGTAAATGTTGACTCAAGCACATCTGGGAACAGGCTGGGTGCTAAGGCACCTTGGCTGACTGTGCTCAATAGTCTCTAATGTCTTAGAACCAGCCAGAAATCAGCTTCAAACCCTCCTTCCTCTCCTACACAGAACCCCCGATGCTTATGGAAGACTCTTCAAACGTCTACGCAAAGCTGTTAGAATAGATCCCTAGATTCACAACTCTGTTGGTGTCATTGGTTCTAGGTCCCAGTTCAACATTAGAACCAACTGAGAAGTTTTAAAACTGCTGCTGCCGCTTAAAAGGTTAAATACAGTAAGCATGTGACTCAGAAATGCCACTCACTCTTAAGTCTGTACCTCAAAGAAATGATAGCATATGCTCTCACAAATTTATGAATAAAGTCCTAATTCCTGTTCCAGCTACAGCTGTGGCTTCCTCTTCGTGCTGGCGATGTTTTGTGTGTCCTGTTCCATCAGTTACCTTCCTAAGCCCGGAGCGCATCTCTGACCCCTTCTACCTCAACGGTCTGCAGAATGGTCTTGTCAAAGGAAACTGGGAATCCATAAAGGGCCCCTTTCCTAGCCAGTCTTAAGTTCATTTTCTCTTCTAAGGAGTTGGAAAACCACATGATAACTTTTCTAGATTTGTTATTCCTAGCTTCTTCCTAGACAACAGACCTGAATACGTTACACATTTTTTTTTTTTTGGCCTCACTCCAGGGCCTGCCAAAGCAGCCTCCTCTCTCTGAATAATTGTGTCCAGAGTCAGTCAGTTACTGCTAGGGATTATGAACAGCAGCCTTGTTATCAGAGATGCTTCAGAATCCTGATTCTGCTACCTGCTAGGAAAGTAGCCTTAGGCAAATCTCGTTTTCTATGCCTCCAATTTCTCGACTATCAAGTAAAGATAATAAGTTTACCTGTAGGCACAGTTATCTGGATCAAATTGTGGCAGTTCAGCCATTTTCACCATCTGGCCCCCTCCTGGGCCTCCTTCCTAAGCAAGGCCACCTCTGCAGACATGGCTGCCTGTCAGCTCCATAAAGTCCTCATGCTCGGACAGGTGAATTAACCCACACATTGTTTTGCCATTAACACTAGGGATACAGAGCTAGTTTCTTTCATCTTTGTCACCTGGAATTACATCCGACAGAATCATATCCAACAGAAAGTTTGGAATAAATCATTAAGAAGTAGTTAAGGCATCAGTGGTAAAAAAAAAAAAAAAAAAAAAAAAAAAAAAAATCCTTCCACTCAGCTTAAAGTTTTGCTATTATGATGTTGTTTTTCTTATATCTTATCAGAACCCTCCCTTTAATGAATGCTACTAATTGTTTCAAGATCATACCACCAATGATGTATTAAGTTGGACAGCATTTTCCTACAATTCACATCCTCCAGAACCTCAGAACCTAATCCTACCTGAAAATTCAAGTGCTGTGTCCCTTAACAATGAGGAGACATTGTGAGAAACTTGTTAAGCAATTTCCTCACTGCCCCAGCATCGCAGGCTAGGACCCCACTGCCTGTGTTTGCGGCATCGAGACTGAATCTACAGTACCTGGATCAGGTGTCTCCTGTTCCAGAATGGGACATAGGTACACTTAGAAGTTGAGATGGAAGTGCAGGTTCATGTTAGTGGTGAAAAGAAGTACCTATTGCAAAGAGTGGCCAGGCTTGTTTGCTTGCAGCTATGCCTCCATAGTCTGGCCGTAGGGTTTGGCAGAAAGGAGGAGATAAGTTTGCTAAAGGAGGCATGAGAAGGCGTTAGAAATGGAGGACTGAGAGCTACAGGCCATGACCGTGCACAAACCTGATGGCTTGAATCCAGGCCAACACTTGCCTGAAAAACATAGACCTTCTTGCAAAAATAGAAAAAAGGAAACTTGCTTGGCAATTGTGTGTGTGTGTGTGTGTGTGTGTGTGTGTGTGTGTGTGTGTGTGTGACAATGGAGAGGGTTCACCGAGGTGCTCTGGCTGTGTCTCTTCCACCCTTTCTTCTACACTCTCTTCTTAATAGCGACAGTGAGTCCTTCAAAAGAAAGTCAGATCCCGGTGCCCTTCTCCTCCAGACGTGCTGGGCGTTCCCACTGCTCCTGCCTGGCCCCAGCCTCTACCTCCTGGGGTCTAGACAGTAGCAGCAGCAGGCCAGCTCCTCTCCCCCTTCCACCGTCCGTCCTTCCCCTCCAAGAACAGTGAAAGCAATCCTCAAATCATAGATTGCATCTGTCACTCCTCCGCTCTGAAGCCTCCAGTGGCTTTTCTTCTGACTCAGAGGAAGCCTGTATGACTCAAAGTCAGATTAAACTCTGAACGTAGCACACAAGAGTTCATCTTCCTAGTCACACTGAGCCTCTTTATTGCTCTTCACTCCTAGAGCTCTTTCTGCGTCTAGCCACGGGGCTCCTCCCTCAGTTCCTGCAGGTGGGAAATGTGTTCCTTCTCAAAGTGAGGTCTTCATCACCACCCTTCCAATGTCCCTGCTTTACTTTCCTCTTAGTATTCATGAGCTTCAAATGCCTTACACACAAAACTTTCCAAATGTCTACCTTCTCCACCCCAAATATAAACATTGCTATAATATAAATTTCATGAGAAAACAGATTTTATTTTTGTCTTTCTGCTTGTTGGAGATAGGGTCTTACTTATGTAGCACAGGTTGGCCCAACAACTTACTAAGTATCCCAGAATGACCTTAAACTTGGACAACCCTACCTCAGCCTCCCAAGTACTGACAACCATGTTGAATCTTTTGATTTTGAGACAGGATATTGCCATCTACAGGGTTCAAACTCAAAAGCCACATAATTAAGATGTATATAAAAACACTGTTTTAGTAAATTAATAAAAGTGTTGGGCTATATATAATGTTTATTACTTTTAGCAACCAGATCTTAAAGGTCAGCATCAGAACAACCCCCACAAGGAAATGTTTTAAGTAAGTTTAGGACTGAGTCCTGTTTCTAGCTGGACCAGATGCAAGCAGCTGGTTGGACCACACACCTTCTTAGTTTGTGGCACCACACCCCAGTTCAAGGAAAGGGTGTTCGATTTGTGTTATTCACCAAAACCTAGGAGAGCATCTGGGGTGTAGTTGAGTAGCTGGCATTCAACAGATGCTTGCTACATGAAAGAGCAAATGATTAAGCAAATTGGGTTATAACAAGATGCTGGATGAAACAGAGGATTCTAGTATACTAGACATCAGTGTGAAAAAAGACACGTGACATAAGGAAAAAAACGAAGATTCCTGTGCTCTAATCAAAACTACATAGATGTGGCTTTAAGCCTTTTCTTATTCTTTTGTTTCATATAAAGATTCAGGTTCCCAAGTTTGCCTTTGGTCCTCGTCATCTACTGTATTGTCCATATACTCATTTTCTGCCTAGGACTCTATGTGGACCGCTTCCTCCACTATCTCTGCTACAGGTCAGAATACCATTCTGGGAATAGCCATTTGGTCTCCAATACAACTCCCCCAGCTGGATGCCTTGTAATCCCAGCACTCAGGGAGGCGGAAGCAGGTGGATCTCTGGGAGCTCAAAGACAGCCTGGTTTACAAATCAAGTCCAGGACATCCAAGGCTACACAGAAAAACCCTGTATCCAGAAACCGAAAACCAAAACAACAACCAAACCTTTGCCATCACAACATGCCTAGAACTTAGTCAATAGTGAAAAAAGGTAACAATAAATATGAGTGCAACTGTGTGCCAAGTAACTTCAGAACCTTATATATATTCCTAGAGGCCCTAGAAGCTTATTGAATTTATATTGCATAGATTAATAAAGGGAATGTTCCTAAAGAACAGCGACTTGAAAGTACTCAACTTGCTTTTAGTTCTTAGAGTGGTGGGATTGCCGGTGATTTAAAAAAAAAAATCTTTAACACTTTTTTTTTTTTTAATTTATGTTTTTGTTTTGGTTTGGTTTGGTTTTCGTTTTAAAAACTCTCATGCTCTTCTTGCTCCTGGTAGGTGGTGCTAGGTGGTGCTAGGGAGCCCCGGACCAGGCTCTCAAACATTTCAATACTTGAGTTATAGTGTGTGTAGTGTGTATAGTGAAGTTATAGTGTGTATACGTTTGTGTGCGATCAATCAATTAAAACATGGCCCAACCCAACAACAGGAAATTGTTCTGCAACATCTGGAAAGGAGAAGCAAACCAAAGTCCGGTCGGGCTCTGCCCACACTCCACCCAAAGGAGCAGCCTGCGAGGGTGGGGAGATCCCGCTAAACTAAACGGCCAACGCCCCGCCCACGGAACCGCGTCCTTCTCAGGAGGCCAATCTGAAACCTTATGTAAATAAAAATGGGGCGTGACTACAGGGCGGCTGTGGGAGGAGCCACCCCGAAAGAAAGGACGTGAAGAACCGCGGACTGGTACTGATTGGCTGGCACGGAAGTGGGCGGGGCTAAAGGTAGCTCCGTCCCGCGGAGGGTGGTGCCCAAGCCAGGGCTTCCAGCCTAGGGACGTTGAGGAGCTCGTTGTGCGGCGTCGCGGGCCCCAGGGGCGGAGCCGGAAGTGGAGCGCTGCGGTCTCTACCTCTGTGTTCCGAGAGCCGGACGTTCCTCGGATCTGTTCCTGGTCCCGGCCCAAGTCACAGCCTGATTCCGGGAGACCGGAGCCCTCAGCCTGGGCGGGGCGGCGCGGGACGGAAGGACGCCATCGCGGCCTCGGCCATGGAGGCTCCCGCGCCGTCCCTCACGGAGGAGGACCTGACCGAAGTGAAGAAGGACGTGAGTAGCTCGCCGGGCTGGGCACGGCGGGTCGGGCGGGGCCGGGGGAAAGCGGAAACCCGGAGCCGAGCGACGAGGAACCTCAGGTCGGAAGAGCGCAAGGTCCGGCCGCGGCACGACCTGCCTGCATCCCGGGAGCTGGCGGGACCTGACCCTGTGAGTCCGCGGCTAAACCTGCGGGTTTCCTGCCGTCCGCCTCTCGCCCAGCGCTCTCCGTCCGGCCGATCCCCCACCCCACCCCGGCGGGAGCTGCCAGGCTATGGAGCTGTCGGAGGTCTCTGAAGAGCAGAAGCAGGACCATGCATCCCCGGGCAGTAGAGCAGATAGGTCAAACTCGTCTGTACCGGGGGCTGCGGAAAGCTCGCCAGCTGGAAGCACGGCCTGGAATTCCCCTAGCAGTCAGACGCCCACATATTTAAATGAAGGGGGGTGTGCGTACGTCTAGCTGAGACTTGAGTTCCAGGTAAACGTTGAAAATACTCAGTGGCCGAGTTGCACTCCTCTGCTTGGACCGCGTAGAACTGCACGTGCACCTTAAGTCATTTCTCAAGTCATTTTGAGAAAAATGACTTGAGGCACGATGTGCTTCGTTTTTCTTTTGCTCTAGTTGCATCTTTTGCCAGAAAAAAAAAAAAAAAAATCAGATGAGCACCGCTTAGATAAAATACACGAATTCACGCTAAAAACAGTAACTCGATCTCATTAGCACCGCAGTCCTGTTGTCTTTTCGAATTTGACAAGTTGTAGAAGGCGGTCATGTGCCTCAGGTCCCCTTTTCCACCAAATCATACCCCTTACAAGGTTTATTGCACTGCACGATAATTAGGATTGGCATGGCTCACGACAAGGAAATTTGTCCTGTAGTTTCCGTGTTCAGTGGAGTTGGTAGCGCACTTACTGCATGGAAAGCCTTACATTCTAATTGAGACTAGGTCTTCAATAACCACTAGAGTCTTAGGGTGCCAGTAAAATCATAAACCTACAGTATGGCGGTTGTGCCCCCACTTGTTTCGCAATTTTGAATTTTCTCACAATCCTTAAAATAACCTGTAGGGAAGAGAATTGCTTTTCATTTTTAGTTGGCAAACAAGACAACACCTGTCTGTAGATACAGATGAGAAGAGTGCTGCAGACCTTGGTTACTGATCATTGGTTCATTGGTGTTATCCATTCTGACAGTTCTTGGTTAGACATGGATCAGATGTTCATAACCTTAGAGAAACTAAGCTTCAGGGTGTCTATAAAATTTTTTTTCTTAGATATTTATCCTGTTATTTTTAAAACTGCTTATGACAAACTTAAAAATTCATCCACATTTCTTGAACTTCTTCCTCAGCTCCAGACCTTTATTTCCAGAGTGTCTACCAGGAATCAGCTTTTACTGTGACACAAATTTGTTTTGTTCTGTGATAGAGTTTCTCTGTCCTGCAACTCACACTATAGCCCATGATGTCCTGGAACTCAGAGATCTGTCTGCTGCTGCCTCCCAAGTGCTGGAATTAAAGGTGCACGCGCCACCTCACCTGACATGTTATTATATTTTCAAGACTTGAACTTTTCATTATCCTTCCCTCTAAACATGTGGTGTTTCTTCAGTATTGTCTGTCCTGATAAACAATAGGAAATTGCTTACATGAGGCTCTGTCTGTTTCAGGGTTTGTTTTCTGTGGCTTCTGTTGCCTGTGGTCAGCCATGGTCCAAAAATACTTAACGGGAATTTGATACATTTCTAATAGTACAAATTGAATGCTTAAGTACCATGATAAAGTCCTGGACCATCCCTCTTCATCTGGCCTCGGACATGATGAGTCACACCTTTTCCCCACTGTATCATACTGTTTGTGTTACCTGTGAGTCCCTTCGAAGCTGTCTTGGTTATTAGATTAGTTTTTATGGTGGAAAGCTTGCTATGGGTTGGTACCATGAGATTTTACACATGTACTGAGAGATTTGGTACATGTCCGCCTCCAGTTAGTGGGGAGCGCTGTCCTGCTGCTGATCTCTTGGGACCCATTTTTCATCGTATTTATTTAACATGTTCTTTTTTGTTGAATTTGGTTCGTTTTAACAAATCTCTATTTGGTACTCTGAAGTTGTTAATGTAATTTGATTCTAACAGTTAAATTAAGAACTAAAATAAAATTGTTTTTAAAATAGCTCAATTTCTTGAGTGAAGGGAAATAGCCATAAAATGATGATTTTAAAATTTTGTAATAAATGTTTCATTCTTCCAGAAACAGTGCGGAGTATGCAGCGTTGAACAAAACATTCCTGCTTCTGACCTGCTTCAAATGTATAGGTCATTAAAGCTGAGACATGCATAGATCATCTAGGAAACCATTATTATAAATGTGGCCAGCGCTGTGAAGACAGACACCAGGGCATTATACCTGAGATAGGATGGTCAGATGTGCTTGAAATTGATTTCTGAAGGTTACAACGGAGCTGGGAGGGGGGGGGGTGGAGGCAGAAAATAACTTGACAGGGACCTAAGACAGCTAGGACCTTTGTAAGTTCAGAATACTGAAGGAGGGCAGAGGGTACCAAGGTGAAAGTAGGAAGGTGGGCTAAGTAAACTCATGAGGGACTTTATGTTTTGTTTTTCTCAGTAGAGACATGCCAAGGAATTAATGGGGTTTTGTTTGTTTGACTTTTAAAGATACTTCTGCCTTTTCTGTAGATTGGGGAGATGAGTGAAAGTGGAAAAGGCCATGAAAAGACTTAAGTATAAGTACTGAAAGGCCATGATGATTTGGATCAAGGTGAAGGCAGTAGACATGGCTGAAACAGAAGTTCATGTTGTGCTGTAAGAAATGGAAATGATGGGACTTGGTGGCAAACTGACAATGAGGAAGAGTGGGCCTGAAGATCAGAAGAGAGCTCTGAACTAATGATACAAGCATGCTATTGAAAATTTGAGAACTAGAAGATGAGGTGTTGGAGACGTTTTCAGGTGCTTTTCTATGGTCCTCATCAGAGGGGAGGCCAAGACAGAAGGATCACAGGTTTGAGGTCCTGCTGGGTTATGTAGCAAGGCTACAGAGGCAGGATGAGAGGAACAAAGAACAGTTTCTTAGAGATTAAAAGAAAATCACAACAGTATCATATTTGCTTGGCAAGGAAAATGTATCTGGAGAAGGAGTGGTCAGCTGTGTCCCTGCTCTGGGAAACCAAGTAAGATGAAAGGGGAAAGGGTCTGTCAGTAGTGGTCCTTGATGGTTTGAGAAAAGTACTAGGACACAGTGGAAATGCCTGAGGGAGAACTAGGAAGTGAGATGAAAGGAGGAGGAATCTGGTGCTGCAAACAGGCCTGTCTACCTCATCCTGGGTACTAAAGTGAGGCTTTCCAGAGGTGACCAATGGCCTCAGTCTGAAAAGATGAAGAGGAGCTCGGGCATGAGAAGAGAAAATCAGACACATAGCATAAACAGTGTCAGTGTTCACTTGTAGAGGGAGCAAAAGTCCTAGGGTAGAGTGTGCTGAATGAAGTTGGAGAGGCAGGCCAGAAGCACATTATCAAGAGTCTTGCTGCCCATGGTCCCATAGTCACTGGCCACTGGACTTTGACTGTATGAGAGACTGGGGTGAACTTCATACACACTGCCCCAGATAGTCTTCCGTCCTTATTTTGTCAGGGCAGATCCTGGAGGTACAGTGGTTAAGTAATTTGTACCAGTTCTCACAGCATATTTTCAGATTCAAGATTAGCAACTCTGGAGGTCCAGAGTTGTGCTCTTCTTAATTGGTTTTTAGTTTTGTGTGTGTTTTTTTTTTTTTTTTTTGTAATATAAGTGTTTTGACCGCATGAATGTACCATGTTTGTCTCTAATGTCCACAGAGGTCAGAGGATGGTGTCAGAGCCCCTGGAACTAGAGTTGTGAGTCAGTGTGAGCCGTCATGTGGGTACTTGGAAGTAGACCCAGGTCCTCTGCAAGAGAAGCAAGTGCTCTTAACCACTAAGCGATCTCTCCAGCCCAGTGCTCTCAACTTCGAACTATTATGCTGTAGATCAGAAATAGCCAACAAGTCATAGGCAGAACACAGTGTTGCTCTAATTTATGTAACAATTTAGATTCTACTTTCTGATGAGAAATTGTAAAATATAATAGATATATGAAAGAGAGATTTGAGAACAAGGAGGGAATTAAAAAATGCTACTTTTCTGTTATCGGTCCATGTAGGATTTAAAGACCTGAGCGAGGGCAGTGCTAAGAGTGCTGAAGTGATGGTGATTGGCAGGAGTGAAAGAGAGGAAGAATCGGGGTTGCCTGTTGACTGGATGATGGTAACTCCAGATGAGTTGAGAATAGGAACATAATAAGGAAGATAAGCTTGGTTTTGACCATGTTGAATTTGAAATGAAAAACATTTATCTTGATCCCAGATGTAACTTTGTGATTTGTCAGCATACATGGTAAAAATGGCCATAGGGATTTTTCATGTTCATCTTTTAAATAAAATCTTTCATTCCACACCCACAATATGTGTAGTCATTCAAAATACCTTCTGTACTGTCCTTGATGCCATTTTCTAATTTCTCCTTTAACTCCAATTTTGGTTTCCCTGGTCCTTTCTAAAAGTTCCTCTATTGCTTTTTACTTATCCACATTTGATGACTCTTGCTCTGGGTCACAGGAAATATTTCTCAGCATGTTGTGAAGGTCTTCCATGATCTAACTCCATTTCCCTTCCCAGCTCCAATTCCTTACCACCCCCAGATGCACATTGTGTAACTCAGCATCTTCCCCACTGCGTGTCTTCATCCTATGTGAATTTCCCAGGTCCTGGAGGTTGTTGCTCACCTGTTCTTTCCTAGCTCCTGACCAGTGATCTTTCTTTTCTGTGCTTTACCACATAGTTTTACAATTACTGGCTTATGTGTGCTGTGTATTCCTCAACTAAACCAGGGGTCCTTTGTATGCAGTGTTAAAATCTTTTCATATTCACGCTAGACGCTTACACATAAAAAGTCTGCTGTGTATGTGTAAATAAGTAAATGTGTGTGGAAATTCAGACGAAAACCCGTAAGAGCACTCACAGGGAAACTTTCCTGCCTTTATTTACTAACTAGGCTCCACTGTAATCCTCCACTGCCTTTAACTCATCATCATGAGTCAAATTAATCACCATCATCATTGTTCCTAACAGGATTGATCACTATATACCATGTAGTTTCTAAGCATTTTGCATGTATTAATTTACTCCTTTGAACTGTCACATGAGGAAACAGGCACAGAGGAGTTAAATAACTTGTCCAAAATCATGTCTAATAAATAGAAACACAAACATGAAATGACTGGCATCAGATTGTCACCATTTTTTATGACACGTGGACCTGATTTAAACATTATACAGTGTGTATATGAGCATTAATTGCCTGATACCTCATTAATGTGTACACTGTTTTTGTGTTTTAATTAAAACTAAAGAAAATTAAAGTTACATACCTAAAGACCAGCCTGAGCTATCTTTCCCTAATCTAGGCTTTCCTTGCTCTCCTTTGTCTTAATTTTTTTTTTCAGCACTCTCCATTTCTTTATGTTCCTCTCTATACATCCCTTCCATGAAGACTGACTCAGTGAGTTGTATGGTGTTTTTAACTGACCTCAAAGCAGAGACACATGGGCCCTTTGGAGGATTTGGTTTTTGTGTGTTTTTTAATGATTTCACACTGAGGTTATGTAATGATTAATAACAAACATGAGAAAGTTGCAAAATGGGAGACTGTACACTGAGTTGTCCTGGTCCTAATTCTGAAATTCTTTACTTAATAGTTACTAGAATGTAGAGAAACTTGTTTTTATCTTTACTCCTGAAATAGGTGACCCTCTGCAGACTTCTTGCTTCTACAGGTCCCTCCTCACAACAGCTGATTGTTAGTTTTCAGGTATGAAGATGAAACAGAACAGGGCGGAATCTGTGAGGACTGTGTGGGACCCGCTGTGTCTGCCTGGGCATCATCTTACTTAGCATGCATTTTAAAGGGCTCAAGCCTCCTGACTTCAGAACATTGCCTCATAGCTGCTAAGATTCCTAACTAATAACCAGTCACCTCTGTGATTTTCCTGCATGTTACAAAACATCATTAATGCATATTTTCTTTTGTCTTTTCTTTTAGGCTTTAGAAAATTTACGTGTTTACCTGTGTGAGAAAATCATAGCTGAAAGACATTTTGATCATCTACGTGCAAAAAAAATACTCAGCAGAGAAGACACGGAAGAAATTTCTTGCAGAACTTCAAGTAGGAAAAGGGCTGGGAAGTTGTTAGACTACTTACAGGAAAACCCCAAGGGGCTGGACACCCTCGTGGAATCCATTCGAAGGGAGAAAACACAGAACTTCCTCATTCAGAAGATAACGGACGAAGTGCTCAAGCTGCGGAATGTAAAGCTGGAGCATCTCAAAGGTGAGCAGTGCTGGGCAGCAAAGAATTAACAGTGCTTTTCAAAAGTCACCAGCTTAAGCGTCAGAATTATATTCAATTTACATTTCTTACTAGATAGATAAACTATCATGTCACAAAAATGATATAAACTCAATGGCTGTATTTCTATTCACTTGTAATAAGTTTTGAATAATAGTTTGTAAAAGTTTAGTTCTGAAATATAACATCAACTTAATCCATTAAAAAAGAAACTCAAGACACCATTATATTACATTTATATTATATTATATCATATCATATCATATCATATTATAGGAGGAGCTATGTGGCTTATGCCTGTATTCCTAGACTTAGGAAGCTGAGGCAGGAGGATTGACCCAAGTTCAAGGCCAACTTGGGTTATATTGTGAGTTCCAGGTCAGCCTGTAGAGTGAGATCCTATCCTAACAACTGAAGAACCACCTCTAGGTGATTAATCAACTCTGCTTTTCCCTGTATTTCTCCCCCCAGTAGATCATAAGCAGTAACTGGCACGTGTGTAGAAGAAAGTATACATGTGTCTAAACCTAGAAGCAGTCAGTTTGTGCGAGGCGTGGGAACTGAGCTAGAGGAGGAACAAGCCCCTCCTGTTTGACCCTCAGCGCAGAGCACGCTCCGGTGGAACACTGTGAACAGCAGTCTGCTCGGTTTAGATCCCCAGCCCCCCACCCCACCCCCATTTTCCAGGGCTCCAAGTTGCATGTGCTGAGGGTATAACTGTGCTGGCTGCTCTTGACCTCCTCGGAGGAAGATGAGCAACCTAAGGTTCTGCCCGGAAGAAACTGAGATCTGGATGTCTTTGCAGCTTTTCTCTTCCGTGAACTTGATGAATAATGCCTGAGTCAGGTCTGCTGGCACACAATTATAATTCCAGCACCTGAGGACTTAGGATTGTGATTTTTGAGGCCAACCTGGGCTATGCTCAAAGATCTTATCTCAAAGGAAAAAAAAAAAAAACGGGGGGAGCTTGGGTGTGTCTAATACTGAAAAAATTAGCAGAAAAGTTGACATGCAAATTTACTTTCAGACCTCATTGGTTTTATCTATAATTGTTAACCCGGGGGTTCCTGTGCCTGTAGACAGCTGTGTTGACTGTTTGCTAAGTGTAACAGTATTAGTGTTCATCCTGCCACCCTGGTATTGTCCGTTAGCCCTTATGGTGTGATAAAATCCTATGGTAGGAGTAAGCGCTGTTTACCTGTTGGATTGGGAAGCAGGACAGTGTCTGTTGACTTGTAGTTCCCACTCTGCACAGCAGTCCCGGAATGCTAGCCCTGCTCGGCGCTGTGGCCCATCCCTCACAGAACGGAATGTCTCAATGACTGCTAAGTCCTTAAGTTCTAACACCCTGTTCTCAAGAATCAGTGATTGCCATTGATGGTGAGATTTGAGGATACACTGGTTAGATTTTGTTTTTATCAAGTAGTTTTGTTTTGTTGTTATTTCTTTGCCAGCATGCTGAAGAATGTTTCTTAGATAAGAATGGTAGTTGCAATCCTAGCACTCAGGAGGCTGAAGCAGGAAGAATCTTAAATTCTAGGTCATGCAGGGCTGCCTAACAAGTGCAGAGCTAACCCAGGCTGTGTGGTGAGACTCTCTCTCAAGGGAAAGAAAATTAGCTGTAAAAGTCAGTTGTTTATGAAAAAGTACAAGAACTGACCTTTTTTTTTTTTTTTTAAGATTTATTTTTATGTGTCTGAGCGTTTTGCCAGGTCTTATGTGCCTGGTGCCTGCAGAGGCCAGAAGAGAGCATTGGATCCCCTGGACCTGGACTTACGTGTGGTTGTGAGCTGTGTGGATGCTGGGAACTGAACCAGCATCGCTCTGGAAGACCAGCCATTGCTCTTAACCTCTGAGCCATCTCTTGGCTCCCTGCCTTTTCCCCACCCCCAGATTCTTCAGCCATTAGTTATGCAAGTATTGATTGAATGTGAATAATGTGGCATTTAATTAGCACTTAGTGTCCTTAGCTGGAAAATGTAAACAGTAGTATTCTTACTGAGAAAAGCAGATGACACTTTGGGTTATAATGACAGCATTTATAAATTGCAACTGAAATTGTAGTGCTGAGCATCAGGTGCTGTAGTCCCAGTTCTTAGGAGGTGGTAATGAGAGCCAGGCTTGGCCACATAGTGGGTTCAAGGCCAGTCTGGGTTATTGAGACCCTTCCTCAAAGGACAGTGTGGTGTCTTGTAACTACAGGTGGGAGGGGTGGCTGTGTTTTGTTTCCTTTCTCATTTGCTCCTGAATATTTGTCGTAGGCTTGAAATGCAGCAGCTGTGAGCCGTTTGCAGCTGGAGCCACCAACAACCTGTCTAGGTCCAACTCAGACGAGAGTAATTTCTCTGAGAAACAGAGAGCTTCCAGCATCATGTACCATCCCGAAGGGGAATCTAGCACAGCGCCCTTCTTCTCTACTGCATCTTCTCTGAATTTGCCAGTCCTGGAAGTTGGCAGAACTGAAAACAGCAGCTTCTCTTCAGCCACACTTCCTCGACCTGGGGACCCTGGGGCCCCGCCTTTGCCCGCAGAGCTGAGGTTGGAAGAAGGAGGAAGTTGTGGAAACTCAAGTGAGATGTTTCTCCCTTTACGGTCACGTGCTCTTTCACGCCAGTGACACTTCACTGCCTAGTTTTTTAATAGTGATAAAAAATGTTGTAAACGGTATTGTAATCTTTTATAAAAACCACTGTGATAGTTCACGCACATTTGATACATGTCTTTTAAATCACAGTGAACACATTCTCTGTAAATAGGATTTGTTAGAGCAAAGCACACTAGGTATAAATCATGGTCTCATATACTTTTCAATATTGTCCTTTTGCTGTTTTTTAGGTGTCTTAGAATTTTGAACTTTTGATATTATAAGAGTAATTTTATCAGAATATATCTCAATTTCAGAAATCTACTTGTGAGCTGAGAATAATGTTTCTTAGCTTATTAATGCTAAAGTTTTCAATCTGACCTTTTCTCCCAATGATCTGGCAGTACCTTGTAGCAGAAAGCTTCCCTGACTCGAAGTAAAGCCAGGCACTGGGAGGGCTGCTGACACTAAGGAGACTCCCACTCCTTGGTTCTCAAGAAACACCTGATGATGCTGAGCCACCTGTGACCTCAGTTGGCCAAAATTGGTTTTATACTAACTTGCCAGGTGATGGGACTGTCTTTGCATTTTACAGTCTGTGTCATCATTCTAATCCCTGAAGAATATTATCCTGTTAGGATATTACTTGTAATTAATTGATAATATTTGTAATTGATTAGAAATACTTCCTCTGAGCCTTTCATTCTTTTTCGGTGAACACTGCTATATGGATAAAGTGACTAGAGCAATTGATTTTAGAATGTGTGACAGTTTTGTTTTTTACATTTTCATCAAGCAGCCACTAGCTACATCTGTGTTTATTGTATTACAAAGTTTGACTAACTTTATACCTTTTAAAAAATGATTTTTTAGTTAAATTATAATTTTACCTATTTCTTGACATCCACCTCTGTATTTCTATTATTTAAGAATTAAAAAATGAAAATTGCTATTAACAATAAAAGTTTAATGTAGTGATGTTTCAGAGTAAAAAACTCCAAAGGTCTGATTTTCAAATGTCTAGTCCTCTGTATATAGATGTGGTGGTACATGCCTATGATTTTACCACTTGGGAACTGGAAGCAGGAGCATCATGAGGTTGAGGCCAACCTTGCTTACATCTTGAGTTCCAGGTACCAGAGGTACATAGTCAAGACTGTCTCTAAAAGTGGCAGCGAAAGAGGGAGAAGAGAGGAGTGTAAGCTGAGAGGATAGTGTGACTCAGTCACTCTAATTTGTTACTAAGCTAATGGATACAATAGTTAAAAAAAGTTATTTTTCAGGAATACCAGATTAACACACTATAAAAACTATACCTACATATTCACTTTTTACTGCCTTTAAAAAAAAAAATCATTGAGTGATCCTGTTTCCCACTTGGAAAGGGGCAGGGAGGCAATGAGGGAGGGAGGGAAGGTTTGGGAGGGAATGAGGGAACTGGATACAGCTGGGATACAGAGTTAACAAAATGTAACTAATAATAAAAATAATAAAAATAAATTAAAAAAAAACATTTGTCATAGCTTATATAGCCTTATTGGCTCTTGTTTTTTAGGAACTAATTTGGCCACTACTGAATTTAACCTTTTAAACAAACGTATGTATCACGAGTTCTACGTTTTCTTTTAAAATTAAAGAATTTTATCTTTTTTAAAAAAAATCATGCTTTTTTGTACAGTTGAAGGTTTAACAGAAAAATTGAGCAAAAGTAATTATTAAATACCCCTTCTTCCCTGTTTCCTATACTTCTTATATTGATGTGATAACTTGTTACAGTTTGTGAACTAATATTAATACGTTGTTATTAACCAAAATCCATATTGAGGTCCTCCCTTCATTATATAACTTGCAGGTTTTAGAAATATATAGTTCACATATGTACCCAAAAAAGTCACAACCAAATAGTTTATTTTCACTGCTTAAAAAAAAAAAAATATTGTTCCTGATGCACCTGTTCAGCCTCACATCCATCCCAGCCCTAGGAATCCTTTTCCAGACCTTTCTAGAATGATCACTGTTGGGGCATAAAGAATGGGACCTCCTCAGGCAGTTTCTAGTTTTTAGTTTTCACTTTAAGTTCTTCAGGCCTTCAGGAGGTGTTCTGTTCCTCTATGAAGAGGCCAGTCCTTAGAATAGTACTTCAAAGTCAAACAGGTCAGGGTAGTGGCAGCTACTAAGTTAGTTTCGTCTTTTGTTTGTTAAATCCTTTTTTAGTTTTTGTTTACATCTTTCACTTGTTTTAATGTATGTGTGTGTGTGTGTGTGTGTGTGTGTGTGTGGTATATGTGTGGGTACATGTTTGTGTGTATGTGTGTACCTGTTTTAGAGTCCAGAGGTCTAAGTGTAATATCTTCCTTAATTGTTCTCCATCTTATTTTTTGAGACAGCCTGGAGCTCAGCATTTGGCTAGAATGGCAGCGCCTGGGGGCTCTGTTCCTCCAAGCCCTAGGATTACAAATGCCCTCCATTATACCCAGCTTTTATGTGGGTGCTGGGAGCCCAACCTTGGGTGATCCTTTGTGGGCAGCAGCCACTTCACTGACTGAGCCATCTCCCCGGCCCTGGATAATCAACTTTTTGAATCCATATTTTTAATGCTAGAAATTTTTATCTCCACTATCTAAGAGACTACTGCCACCCCACCATCTTGCTGTTACTCTTGAGTTTTCTGGAAATTCTGTCTTACTTTCCCATGTAGCTCTCATGACTGGTTTGTGTTTTGAGAGTCTCAGTAGCCTGGGGTGGCCTCAAGCTCACTATCTAAACAAGCTTGGCCTTGGGTGTGGGGTCCCCATGCATTCGCCCCATCTTCCCAGGGCTGAGATTTCAAACACGACCACCACGCCTAGTTTATGTGGGTGCTGTATTGTCTTGCTGTAGTAGACTATAGTTAAGGATACAGTTACCCAGCTTTCAGAGAGTTCTGTAACTAGGACACATCAGGCCTGAGGATGGTCAAGGGGTCCCTGAATTTGCTCATGGTGTCGGAACTGAGGATGGTTTGGGGGCCCCCATGGCTTTGTACTTTGGGAATATCTCTGTCAGTATAGGCACTTAAATGGAACTTCTTTTTTAAAAACAGACCTGTTTTCTCATAAATTATAATCCAACCATATTGATGTCGGCAGTGGATGGCCACCAAAATTAATTCTGGGAATATAAATATGAACAAGGCATCAAACTCACAGCATTGTCCTGTAGAGTTTAGGAGGTAAGCATCAGACTGGATGGCAAGTTACTACCAGAGTTTGGCTATGGCCTCTGGCCCACTTCGTCGTTGTCGTTCCCTGGGATCTCTGGAGAGAAGCAGATGCAGTCTTGAGGCTTCAACCTGTCTCCCTCCGCCCAGGAGTAGGAGCTCAGCATCGCCGCTAGGGGGCGGAAACGGATCACCTGCCCGTCTAGGGGAGGGGCGGGGCCAGCCGCGGCTTCCGGCTTCCGGTCGAGAGGGTGGCCGCCCGGAGCCGTCATGGCAGCTGAGGAGAAGGACCCGTTGAGCTATTTCGCGGCTTACGGGAGCAGCAGCTCCGACTCGTCGGGCGAGGAGGCCAGCGAGCCGGAAGACGCGGGTCGCAAGGAGGCGGCCCCGGCGGCTCCGACGGGCGGCCGCGGGAAGCAGGCGGAGAAGCGGCTGCCGGGCCCCGACGAGCTGTTCCGCAGCGTGACCCGCCCGGCCTTCCTCTACAACCCGCTCAACAAGCAGATCGACTGGGAGCGGCACGTGGTGAAGGCGCCCGAGGAGGTGAGGTCCCCGGCCCCGCGCCCGCCCCGGGACCCCGCGCCCGCCCCCACCCCCACCCGCCCAGCCCGCGCCGTGCCGCGCGTCCCCACGGCCCCGGGAGCCCGGGGGGTGTCAGCCCGGGCCCGCCCCTCCGCGCCGGCGGCGACGACTAACGGTGGTGACTCCCCGCCCCCCGCTGCAGCTTCTCCCCGAGACCCCTTCCCTTTGACGCCGAAGTGCCTGCGCTGCTGCCTCCAAGACAGTGTCTCTGCTGCAGCCTCCTGAAGGGGTCAGCCTGGCCGTAGTATCTGAGACTGGATTCTTCTTTGGTAACTAAAAGTTATTAGCTTTATTTACATAGGGAACCCTTTGACTTTTCACTTGACGGTGTTGTGATGTGGATGGAAAAAAAAATGTGTCTTTTAAGCCTAAAGGATTAAAAATAAAAATAAAAATAAAAAACGTCAGCCAGAAAGATGAGCAATCGGCAGGGAGGTGCATGCGTTTGCATCCATCGCAGGAACCTCGGTTCGTCACAGGGCCTCTTACTGTGCTTACTCAACAGCCTCCAAAGGAATTCAAAGTCTGGAAGTCCAACTATGTACCACCGCCAGAGACCTATACTACCGAAAAGAAACCGCCGCCACCAGAGCTGGACATGGCGATAAAATGGTCGAACATCTATGAGGACAATGGTGATGATGCCCCACAGAACGCTAAGAAAGCCAGGCTTCTGCCAGAAGGAGAGGAGACAGTGGAATCAGGTAGGAAGCCACTGAGGATTTCAGCCCTTGGTGCTTCTCACAAAGAAGCATTCAGTGAGCAAATTTTAGATCCTAGTGAATTGGAAAAACTGACTAGAATTGTCTTTGGGTACTAACAAGAATTCACTTCAATTGTTGTGGGGTTTCCATTTGTGGGAGACAAGGTCTTTGTAACCTGGATGTTCTGGAACTCACTATGTAGACAGAAGTCAAGTGACTGTCTCTGCCTCTCAGGACTAGGATTGAATGTGTGCCGTCACACCAGGCTCTGCTGTTTGTAAGTCAGGCTCTGCTGTTTGTAAGTGTTCTGCCTGAAAGCAGAGGCTCAGAAGTCTCCATTGTACGTTCTTTTATGATCCCACATTAGAGCAGTGAATGTTAACTCACGGGTTTTTGTCCCTGCAAGCTAAAGGCTTCATTTCAGTCAGGGCAGTTGTGCTTCAGAGCTCAATTCAGGGTAGCAGAGTGGCATGACCTGCATGTAGTCCCAGGAGTGGAGTAGTGGTTTGCTTTTCTTGCTTTGTTGGCAATCTCAATTTTATCTCTGGCTTGGGCTACCACAGCTAGTGGTGGCTTCCGAAATTCATATCTGATTGTAAAACTGGCTTGCCCCAAACCCCTTGAAACTGGAGAGCTGGAGCTTTGTGTGACCCCTCACTGGCCCCTCACTGCCACCATTTATCAGAACTCCATTCCAGCATTTAGATCCTGAAATTGAGAGATAAGTGGGCCACACTGTCATGTGGGTTCCTGGCATTTAATATATATTGCGCTTTAGTCTGGACTGAATGGTTTTAAACTTGTGGCTGGTGAAGTCATTCATCTTACAAAATCCAACATGAAAATTCTAGTACACTCTTGATCAGTAATTTACTCCCCTTTACGTGGGATGTGCTACTGCTGCTAATTCAATTGTGCTAATTCAATTTCTGCCTCATGAAGGCAAGTTCATTAAGCAGCAAGATTCATCAATGAATAACTGTTGTTGAGCTCTGTGTCTTTAAATATTTATTTATTATTTAGTCACTTTGTATCTCAGCTGTGGCCCCCTCCCTCATCTCCTCCCAATCCCACCCTCCCCCTTCTCCCCCTATGCCCCTTCCCCAGTCCCCTGATAGAGGAGGACCTCCCCCCTTTCTATGTGACCCTAGCCTATCAGGTCTCATCAGGACTGACTGCATTGTCTTCCTCTGTGGCCTGGCATGGCTGCTCCCCCAAGGAAGAGGTGATCAAAGAGCTGACTACTGAGTTCATGTCAAAGACAGTTCCTATCCCCCTTACTAGGTTACCCTCTTGGCAACTGAGCCACCTATGGGCTTCCTCTGAGCAGGAGGTCTACATCCTTTCCATGCATGGTCCATGGTTGGAGTATCAGTCTCTGCAGGGGCCTCTGGGCCCAGGTTTTTTGGCTCTATTGGTCTCCTTGTGGAGTTCCTGCCCCCTCCAGGTCTTTCTATGTCCATAAGGTTTACAGCACTCTGCCCAAAGTTTGGCCATGAGTCTCAGTATCTCCCTCGATACCCTAGTGGGTAGAGTCTTTCAGAGGTCCTCTGTGGAAGGCTTCTGTCCTGATCCTTGTCTTCTCCTAATTCGGATGTCTATCCTGTTTGCCCTTCTGAGTGAGGTTTCAGCCTCTTCCTTCCCTAGGGTCCTCCTTGTGAGCTCAGCATTTTAGACTGTCATTTTAAAAGTCATTTGCTTTTTTTTTTTTTTTTTTTTTTTTTTGGTGTTGTTGTTGTTGTTGAACCGATTTCTGATCTGCCAATAAAAGTGCCAACCTAAAGAGAGATGTTTAAGAGTAGGGGTGTCCTTGTTTAGCAAGGTAGCATCTTAACATACCTGAAGATGACCTTGAACCCCCCAGTTCTCCTGCCTTTACCTCCCTACCACTGCAATTACAGGTGGATACTATGTCCAGGGTTTTGTTTGTTTTCTTTTTGGAATATCTTAAATCAAGTGTGGCACTTTGATTAAAAAGTATTGTTTAATAAATAGAGTCCTGCAAAATCAGAAGGGGTAAATGTAAAAAATGGGAGCTTGACTTGTCCAAGGTCACAGTTAAATACTTATACAGGTTTCCTAATTTAATATTCTTAGCAACCTGACACAGTAGTGACTCATAGTTCATTATCACTCTCTTGAAGAAAAAAAAAAAATAGCCTGATATGAAAGAATTTGCCCAAGTTCACACCATTGGGAGCTGACAAAGTAAGGCTTCCAAGCTCAACCTTGAAATAGAATTTGTATCTTGTTAGGCTGAGTTGGGGTCTCTTCCTATTTTCACAGTTTAAGAAATGTTCATTTTTCAGAAGGGACCAGAGTTGATAATCCAACTTGCCATGGTCTACTGTCCCTATACCTCTGTCCCTTTATGATAAAGGACAAATTATATTCAAATTAGCAAGAATCCCCTTTTTTTTTTTTTTTTTTTTTTTTTTCTAATTTTTGGGTTCAACTACCAGGAATTCAAGTAAATGGCAAATAGCACCTACCATAACTAATTCTGTCCTTTTGATCAGAAAGTGAATGTCAGCAATAAAAAAAAGACAGAAAGACCAAAGTTTCTGATTTATTTCTGGATATATGACTCAAAGGTCATTCTGAGACTGAGGGTATAGCACCGTCATACAGTGCTTCTCTCACAAGCGTGATTACCTGAGTTTGAGCCCAGCAAATGCTGGAGTGATGCCTGTTGTGATGTCAAGTTGCAGTCCTGTCCAGGGGACTGTAGAGATGGGAGGATCTTTGACAGGCCTGGCCAACCTAGTTGATAAGCTCAGGCAGATGAGAAACCTTGTCTCAGGAAGTGAGTGGGGTTGCTAGAGGTTTGCACACACATTAAAAAGAGATAAATGGTAAAATGTTAATTTGGACTTGCTCAATGATTACTGAGTATCAGTCTTGAAATAAATATTTCCTCAGCACTTTTGAGATTGGATCTGAAACTCAGTGTGTAGCTGAGTTTCATGAACTTCTGATCCTCCTGCCTCTCTGCCTCCCAAACCGGGATTATAAGCATGTACTGCCCTACCTATTATGTGCTGCTAGATGCTGAACCCAGATCTTCCTGTATGCTGGGTGAGCACTCTACCAACTCAGCCACATCTCCAGCCAGTAATTGCCTTTTGAGAAGTTGAAGTCACTGAAAACATTAATTTGCCTAGCATTTTTCTCTTTGCATGTATGTGAGTGTGGAGACCAACGGACACCCCTAGGTGTTGGCCCTTGTCTTCTACCTTCAGACTTTTTTTCTCCTGTTTATGTATTTACGCCTTGTCTACTGGCCTTTGAGCTGGGAGTTGTGTCTCTTGGAGGCACTGAGATCACACACAGGTATTAACTGCTCAGTCTTTTTATAGAGGCTATGGGGATTCAAATTCAGGCCCAGGGCCATCACCTCAACCCTGACATTTTTTTACCTAGAGTTTGTAATTAATGAAGTATTACAACAAAGTCCACCCACTTGGCTATCTTTTAAATTAATTCAATTAAATTAATCCTGCTTTTATTTTGCCTTCCCATATTCTTCTTCCTTGGCCTTTTTTGCCACTTAGGTTGAGAATTTAGAGGAGCTGAGAAAGGTTAAATCCAGCCTTCCCTCTCACTGCTTAGGGCTTCATGTTTAGCAACCAAAGTACAGATAAGTACAACTCAGATTTTCATAGCTTTAGTAACAAATAACTACAAAAGCCTGGCTGATGTAGCGAAGGAATTTTTTATTTAACTTTTAATTTAAAAAGTTCACAATTTTAAGTTAATGTTGTTGGTTCAAGTTGTGCAATAGAAAAACTTCTTGTCGGTGTGTCTGTACTGTGTACAGGAAAAAAAAAGCTATCTCATCAAGCTAGTGAGCTGTTGACCCAACCTTCCCTGCACTGGTGTTCAGGCAGTATCTTGTTGTGACACTAGAGGGCGTGAGCTCCTCTGCTCTAGTCGTTTTTGGAAACAGTCTTCAGTATAATGGTGGTTTTAGTGTTTTATCAGTAGGTTTACCTGTAGTTAGTGGAGTAAAAGCAGTAATGTCCCTTTTTAATGTGGATTAATGATGTGTTTCATAGTAGTTTTTTAAAATGCTTTCAACTTCTGTATTACCATTTCTGAAAATAATTTCAAGGTAAACTTGATAATTAAGGTCCAGCTAAAAAACAATGTTTTGTTTTGTTTGAGTGGATATAGTGGCTTCACACCAGTAATCCCTACACAGGAAGTAGAAGCAGGAGGGTCAGGCATTTTCAGTCATCCTGGGTTACAGATTTTCTTCACATGATTTCTGATTTGACCTTAGCAGTTTCCATGATTTTTAAATGTGAAGGCGTCGAACATCAGAATATTTTATATGGCACCATATTATACCTGTTGGACTTTGGGTATCCTCTTGATCAAGAAAATAAAGTTAAGCCAGGCCCAGAGGCTCTATAATCTTAGTACCTGGGAGGCTTGAGGCAGGAGGATTATGAAATTGGGCAAGTCTAGGCTGCTTAGGAAGAAAGGAGGAGAATAAAGTCCCGGCTGAGGCTGTTGAGTATAGACTGGTTGCCTGGAAGGCATAAGGTTTAGTCCCTGCTCCATGGAAGTAGGGAAGCCAGAAGCTATGTGATTGTCCACATAGAATTCTTCTGAGGTGGATGGTGAGACAGTGTTCCTGTGCATAGCTAGCTGGCCAACACTCAGTGTAGCCCAGGCTGGCCTCAAACTCATGGTCCTCCTATCTCAGCCTTCTGAGTGCTATGACTGCATGCATACCACCACCTAGCCTTGGCTAGAATTTACATCACACCTTTTAGGGAGGTGGGAATTAGCAACTAGTCTGTGCTAGCCTGTGTTTATTGAACCACATAAGTGTTTTGGTTTTAATAGAAGGAAAAAAAGGTCTGCTTCTTCAGGTTTGACATTTTTATTAATGGAAATTTTCTGTGGCCACAGGTGGTAACAGTGTGTGTGTGGAAGGGCTTTACTGTTTGCTGAATGGTTCTGTAGTCTTCATCCAAATTTTCCTTAATGTGAAGTTAGAGCCTGCTTACTTTGTTCTGAGCTCCTAGGAAGGAATAGTCCAGAATTAGAACAGACACCTGTGAGATTCTCTGAACCTTCACTCCTGTTCTTAACCTCAGAGCTTGTGGTGGGTTGATGAAATCTGAGAAGACAAGTGTAGCTGGTGGCCACTGAGATAGCATGACTAGAAGATGTATGCTTTGTAGGCGGGAACAGTGCTCTGTCCTACGATGTATGGAGAATTTGAGAAATGGCTGTTTCAGAAAGAGCTCATTTCCAGGGAAGAAACTTATGCCACATTCATGTCCCTAAAAAGTCAATTTGCAGATACTGTATTGCTGTAATTTAAAACAAAACAAACAAACAAACAAAACTGCTTGTTTTTTATTGTAATTTACTATCAGGGTTCTAAAAATTAGTATTTAGTTTTTATTGTCATGCTTTCAAATAGCTGATGAGTGTTTTGATATAAAGCTAATAAATTTTTTTTCTGTTTTTAAAGACTTACTAACGAAGCCTTCTTCTTTCCCACTTCAAGATGATGACAGAGACGAGCGTGCATCTAAAACACGCAGAATAGAGTCAGGAGAAGCAGCCAGGAAGAAGAAGTAGAGAAGTGGGGGCAAGAACACCCAGCTGCTGAGCTCCTGAGACATGTCTTCGTGCAGAACGTTTTCAATTGTGTGTTATGACAGACATCTCCATGAAAGTATTTACATTAACGAACTAACAAGTGTTGCCTCAAGACTTTCCACTGTAGAATTCACTTTTTTTATTTAAAACCTGTATGTATTTGCAACTCTAATGGTGACCTTGATTGTGAACTGACAGTACTTAGAAGCACTCTGGCTATCACAAAATTGGTGACGGGCTTTGAGAGTTTTGTCATGTGGACATGCCAGTGTTCTATGAACCTTTTATAAAGGAATATATTTTTAAAGTAAATGTACTGTGAACTTGTGGGTGCTTTTCATTAGTGTATGTACAGTGTAAATAGATGATCATGGAAATAAAATTACTTAATTCAACATGGTTCTTACTTTATGCCACTCACAAGAGTATTTGTAACAGGCAGCTTGCTTAGCCTGTGACATTTTAATTCACAGTAGGGATTAGCAAGCATGTAGGGAGAGCCTCCAGTGTTCAGGTGCCTTGTCCATACTTTTTTTCACCAGTCCTGTAAAGCACACATTCGAATCCTCAGTTTTGTAAGGAAAGCTTGAAGAACTGGGCGGGCGAAACAGCCAGTGAGTGAAGACTAGCAGGTTTACTCAGGACTCCAGAAATGGGTTAAACCACCCGTCCACTCTTGCGACTTCAGTTGTTTTCCAAGGACATTATGTCCCTGCCATGTACATGTCTCTTCCATGCAATTCTGTTGTTAGGGAGACCTTTTCCTCCCTGATTATGCGGCTGCACTTTAACCACATATGCCTTATAGTATGATTATTTGTTCATTCAGTAAATATACTGAGGATGAGGCTCTTCCATGAGACATTACCAGATTCAGCAAAGAGCACAAGGTACCAAATTAAACGTGAGTCTTTGAGTGCATGTGATTTAAGAGACACAGTAAAATCCATCTGAAATTCCAATTTAGCTGAGCATCTTGTTTATTTTGGGGGCTGGCGCCAAAACCCAAAACCTCCCTGCTAGGTAAATGCTGTACTCCTGATCTCCACACCGTCCTCAAGAATCTGGGGCTTTCTTTACCTAGCCTCTGTGTTGATGCTGTGCACATAGTAAGCAAAGGAAAAAAAATACTTTTTACTTTGGATCCTCCATCTCTCTGGCCTCTTGTCCAGCTTTGCTGAGGCCAGCATACCCTATGATGTCATTCTTCCCTCCAGTTGGCAGATTCTGACAGGTTAACACTGTGGGGAATGCTTTCATGGTGCCTGCACTGGAAGGCTTGCCTCACACTTGGATATCCAGAGCTTGTCTCAAAAGCTACACCAGGTTGCTTACTTCATCTCTGCCCCTACTGTACCATCTCAGGTGTGGTGGAAACATTCTGTCATTTCTATAATGTTCTCACACCCCGTAATCAAGGTGTAAGAAACCATTTACAGTTCCCAGGTTGCAGTTCCGGTCTGTCATTCTGCCTCACACCCCTTGCTTGGCCTGGCTCTTCTCCAGTGACCTAGTCAGCTCTCCAAGAGCCAGGTCAAGTGTTCCCCCCTCTATATTCTTGGATTCGTTTCTCTCTGTATGCTACCATATCTGTCTCTTCAATACTAAGTGACTAGGCAAACTGCCACATACTTACTGTAGGCCAGGCTTTGTGATATGTTCTTTACAAGGTGTACAAATATATTTAATTTGATAAGAGATGATTACTACCTTGTCAGGGAAAAAGTAAAGTACAAAGATGAATTTACTCAAGGGTAGAGGAGCCCAGTGGGTTTATCCTTGAGGTATTCAAAATGCATACATCTAGAGACTTAGCGTTCCAAACTGACCACAGGAGCCATACTGCTGTATTGATCTAATGTGCCAGAAACATTGGCAGTCAGATGGACCAGCGAATGTCTTACGAAAATTAACGTGTGTTTCAAGGACTTAGACTTACCATTTTAAATGTCTTTAAAGCCAATGTGGCACACACCTTTTACTCCCGGAGGCAGGTGGATCTCTGAGTTCTAAGCCAGCCTAATCTACAAAGCGAGTTCTAGGACAACCAGAGTCACACAAAGAAACCCTGTCTCAGAAAAAAAATGAGTCTTAAAGCAACAAGTCTGAGACGATAGCCTCCCTCCAAAAATGGTTTTCAATGGCAGAGATGGAGCTCAGTGCTGCTTGTTTGATGTATACAAGGTCTATAAAGCCCTGCACTCAGTCCCTACCACAGGCAGACAGATGTATTATGTATGTGGGAATGAATGTGTGTATGTATATCCATTTCACTTGTTTGAGGCGTTGCTGGGATAAACCCAAGGCCTGACACATGTGCACTGAGCTAGGTCACCAAGCCTCCCTTTGTCTCAAAAAGCCAACAGTCCATACAGAGAGCCACAGCCTTTCCCTGAAAGTTCTTTGGTTTTCCCCTTTCATTTCTAATTATGGTTTGAGTTTAAAATGGTAGCACCTAGACTCTAGCATCCAAATGACTTATGCAGGCAGCCTTCCCACAACTGTTGTCTTTGGTGTGAGCGTTGCCTCGCTTTTTTGGGCTCATGAAATGACAGGCTTACAAACCAGACTTGGAATGGCACTTCCTGCAAGGCTGTAGTATTCTGGTGCACTGGGTCTGGCACTCCCCTCTGTGTTTACCCTTTCCTGAAAAAGGAAAAGAAGCAGAGGATTTGATGCACACAGAACATTGGAGGAAGAGGAGAGCTATTCTCCTGGCATAACTACCTGCCTCTACTAAAGAGGACTCAAATCCTAGCAGCCCTCTCTGGCAGGCCTTGGGGTTTGGATTCACATTTTAAATTTAGAACCCCCACAGGAAAGTGCCATGAGATAACCAAACAAGCCTTCCAACTAAGGAAGTGAATCTGCCAGCAAAGGACAAGCAAGCTGATGCGGAAATAACTCCAGGGGTGTCGGGACCGGGGAAATTTAAGAGCCTGCTGCTATTTTTTCTAGTTTTCGCTTTGGGGATGCCTATGCCCTTGGCTTTCTCACCACCAGTACGAAGTTCCCTTTCCTTACCATGTTCAGCCCTGAAGCCTTCCCCCTCTGGTCCTGTCAAGGACCAGGTCCTGTCTAGGAAAAGCGGTCCAAGAGGCCTGCAGTAGAATTTCTTCCATCCATCTGGAGCCTGTATGTCAAAATTTGTTAAAAGACAGCTCACTCTGTCCTCTTCCTCCTCCTTCTTTCTTCCCTCCTCCTTCAGTTCCTTCTCTCTCCCTACTTCTTCCCTTCTCCTGTCTCCTCTTTTTCCCTCCCTCTCCTCTCCCCTCCTTCCTACTCTTCCCCCTCTCCCCTCCTCTTTCAATTCAGCTTAATCGCTTGAGTCCCCTAAAGCTCTCTGCCCCACTGTCCCACCAAACTAATTAGTGCAATTATCCGTGCCCTCCATGGCTACAGATCAGTTAAGCTTGTTATTGAGGTTAACAAATGAGAGGGTTAATTTTTCATGACTGCTCCGTAGTTGGGAAAGAAAGATAATAGGCCCTTGTTTTGTGCTTTTGCAGGCTCAAGCTCCCTTCCCCTGTTCCCAACTGCCACCCAGAAGAGGAGCTTACTGTGGGTTTCCTGCCTTTCTGGAACCCAGAGATAAGGGGCTCAACTCTGAACGAAAGTGTGGAATTCACTACTACGCACCAGGGATTCCCGGTCTTGCTGCTTCAGGATGGAAAAATTTTGGTGCATTTGAAAATGGGTTTTCCAGGCCCTTCTGGAGCTAACTAGAGATGCTAACTAAGGCTTTACATGGTAAGCCACGTGTGGTGACGCACGCTTTAATCCCAGCACTCTGGAGGCAGGTGGATCTTTGTGAGGTCCAGGCCAGCCTGGTCTACAGAATGAGTCCTGAACAACCAGGGCTGTTATCCGGAGAAACCCTGTCTCAAAAAAACAAAAACTAAAGCAAATCAAAGCATTACGTGGTAAGTGGCTTTCTCTAGATAAACTGTATTTTTAACTGTCTCAGAAGGTACTGAAGTCACCCACTGGGCCTGCCTGGTTATGAGCTCCCTGGCTTTTCTGTCCTTTTCCCACTTGTGTCTTCACTGTCACCCTAGAAAGGCGATCAAGTGTCACCCTGGCTAGGGACCTGAGCCTGGGCTTCCCATTTCATTCTTTTGCCCTGGAGGTTTCTCTTAGAGAACATGAGCTGAAGAGAACAGTTGATGGAGCATTCAATTTCTCTCATTATTTTTATAATTTCCATTAATTTTTCTAATAGGAATTGTGGAAATTTGGTAAGCAGTGAGAGAGAATGCATATCAGTGCCTCACAAAAGCGTCTGAAGACAGGGAAATAAGCCCCATGCCACAGAAGGGCACACAGCCCTGCATGCTTGGGTTTGATTTTTGCTGCCGTTTTGATACAAACATATTTAGTCTTTTCAAAAACCAGAACATTTACACCAAAAAAGAACACATTACTATTCTTAAATTCAGTTGCTTTAATTCTCACTATATCAATATTAGATACAAATTCTTTGTAATATTAACATTCACAAAAGTTTTTCTGATTATGAAAAAATGATACTTTCTCACTGGAGAAGTTCTAAAACCAAAAAGAGGAAAACACTCTAGGCAGAGAAATCTATTATAAATATTTTCTTAATTTTCTACAGGTAGCATGTACATATGCTAGACAAGATAGAAATTCTCTTACTAACATTTAGCCTTTTCGGTCCTGTAAGAATTCATTAAAAAAAAAAAAACAACCTACTTTTGGGGGTGCTGGAGAGATGATTTAGCAGTTAAGAGTACTTGCTGCTCTTGCAGAAGACCTGGGTTCAGGTCCTACCACTGATACTGAGTGACTCACACCCATCTGTTCTGGGTGCTCTGATGCCATCTTCTGGCCTTTGAGGGCACCTGCGTGCACATGGCACATACACATACACTCAGGCACACACACACCATTTTAAAAACTATTTTACAATTACTCAACTTCATTGTATCTTAATTTATTTATCATTTAGCTATCAGATGATGAAATTATTTCCAAAAATATTTACCACTATAAATAACACTGTGGTGGACTTTTTAAGTCTTTGGCAACAGTGTTGAACACGGAACTGCTTTTCTAAATTTTCCACATGAAATCATTAACAGGTAGAGTTCTCTGGTTTGCTTGAATTCGTGCTTCTAATTTCCTTTCCTATTGGGGTGGGAGGGTAACATAGCCTTCCAACTTGCTTTGTAATGGAGGATGACCTTAAACTCCTGATGCCCCTGCCTCTGCCTCTCCCACGATGGGATTGTAAGCATGTGCCACCACACCCAGCTTCTGCTGCTAACTTCTTGAGGCTGCATTTGAATAACCAAGGTCTTCGTGCACCTTGAAATTCTAAATGTTAAGCTTCTTACCACAAACTAGCTCTTTATGACAAGAGTGTGGCATT